CTACAGACATAAATGTGGGTCCAATCTATATTGTTTATGTTTTCATGAAAGCCTGATAGAAAGATTTTCCAATTTCTGTCTATGTTTTCCAATTTCTATATTAATCTCTCATACATAATCATTAACAACTATTTAGACCAAACCAACATAATATCTGCAGGTCAGATCAGCCATGGTGACTGCTGGTTTGTGACAAAAATGCTTTCTCCTCCAACTCCACACTCAGGTTTTAAACACTAAACCAGGGAGGGTGGCAGGGCTTGGGCGTGCCTGTGCGGAGCGGAGATGGGGAGTTTTATGTAGACTGAAGTTTCTCCGTCCCTGCCATGAGGCCCTGGGTAGAAGCTAGCACCACACTTCTGAGATACTCACTACTCCATGATCAGGGTGAAGCTGTTCTTGCTCTCAAAAGCATCGTAAAGTTGGATCAAGTTCACATGACTGAGCTGGTTCATGATGTTGATCTCATTCTTCACGTCCTCCTTGTGGGACCAAAGGAAAAATGGTTTTCCAAGAAAATAGATCAGGAAGAGAAGCCACTTGCATCTCCCAAGATGTGTGCATATGTGCCCACTTGCACGCGCACACACAACACTCATATTCACACATATTTACACACTTACACATACACTCACACAAACATACACACATTCACACCCTCACACATACAGTCACACATTCACACACACACACACACACACACACACACACACACACACACACACACACACCTCTTATGCTTCTTCCAACTTCTGCTGTCACACCAGGTCTCCTCAACTCATCACTCAAACTGTATTCTTATAACAGAAAGGACCTTGGTTCAACCCACCCACTCACATCAGAGACAGGAGGCCCAAGAAGGAAGAGCCCTTGGTGCCCAAGGTCCTGCAAGCATGTTGGCAGAGCTTGCCAGGCCATCCCCATCAATTAGGTCTGGAGTAAGGAATGTGAGTGTCTGAGTGACTGGTGTGTGAGAGCCAAGGTAAAGAGGGAGGGAATACATCAAGGTTCCTGCTTGGAATGGAGGGGGCTGGAGCAGGGTGCTAGGGAGGAAATGAAGCTTCTGGGTCTTGGCTAGAGGATCTGGCTGGCCTGGGGCACATGTCTTACCCGGTCTTTGATGTTCTTCACTTTGATGATCTTGGCTGCCAGTGCAAGGCCTGTGGACCTCTCTGTACATCTGTGCACTTGGCCAAACCGGCCCCTACAGAGACACAGGTCACAGGAAGCTGAGAATATGAAAAGCCTACCAAACTCCTGAGGGCCACCATCCCTCTCTTCATACACACCATGTGAACGGTCTTTCACCTCAGGCTATTGTCTTAGTCATCACCCTGGGCTAACCCGAAGTCTAGAAAATCACATCTTCACCACTCACAATCATGTGATCGTCTCTATAACCTAGGGGAAAACCTAAGTTTTCTCCTGACCTTACCATGGGCTATTCTGGATATGGGAATATCCATTCCACATCACACCAGCCTACTTAACCACTCCCATGCCTGGCATTCCTGTTACCTCGGGAATGTTTCCCTTGTCCTACTTCGAGAGTCTCCCACACCTCTCCTCCCTCATACGCACAGCCACCCGCATCCCAGGGAGACCTCTGCTCATTCTCTGTGCAGGTCAGCCTCCAGGCTCCAGTCCCTGCCCCTCACCCAGGTGGATGCTGCACTTACCCTCCCAAGACTTCGTGTTGGGACACTGTGTAGCCTGCTGAGATCGAGGTGTCCTTGACACTCACTACCCGATGTTCAAAAGGGGCTGGGGGTGCCGCACTGTCATCTGTAGAGAGACAACAGAGAACCCATGAGTCTCCTACAAGTACCCTCCCCTCCTAAACCCACTAAACTTTTGTCACTTGGATTACCAGGTGGCAAGCTCACTGCCCTTCTTACAGCCCCCCACATCAGAGCCCTGTCTCTAGAGTCACCCCATTGGAGCTACACATTTGGCAAGAGAAAAAGCTGAGCACGCTACATTTTCATGAGGCGGCTGTGTTCAAAGGCAACAGGGCTATGGGAACTAGTCAGGGGAGTGTGAGAGGGAGACAGCTAGAAAAACAAACACACCATCCTCACTGCTCAGCCTTGGCCCTGATAGCTGGTCTCAACTAGATCCCAGAGGACAGAGAGCCTGTGGTGGAGCCCACGGTGAGCATCTGTTAGGGCATGGGTTGCTGAGGAGGGATAATGGATCTAGAAGGGAAGCAAAGAGCAGCTAGCACTTGGGAAGACTGTAGGGAAAGACATTTAGGATTTTTT